ATGGATTACAGAATCCCGCATGGCGCATGAAATCACCTACCAGCTAGCCACTTTCCTAGACTTATAATAGGTTTAACTTATAAATAAAAGAGTAGATCAATAACAAATCCAAGTCACAGGATGATAGATTCCAAATCAAGGATCTAGTTATGGGTCATTAAAAACTAAAATCAGACAATGAAGAAAGTTATGGTTTTTCCTTCCTTTCTGACCTATTTTTTATTGCAAGCTTGGGCTAGTCATAGAGAACCAAAGATCTCCAGGAGTTTAATTACTCAACCTATTTTTCTGAATAATTCTCCCACAACCTTTATTATTAGAACAGATAGCCTTTTATGGTCTACCACTTGAGAACAATGAACTGTTATCTAGAATCATAACCACCTTCATAAAAATAGCAGATCAACTTACAATTTCAAACATAAAACTCTGGGAACCCAAACCTAAAACTGCATCGCTCTAACTAAACAACATACTGTCATCTAGATATCTGACGTACTCAATAAATCAAACATATAAAATAAAACACACAGCAAGACTAATCCTGCTTCTTTTTCTCATGAGTGAACCTCCTACGAAATTTGCCCGTAAAGGGTTCTCTACTTCATTTTTAACACTTGCACATTTGAAATGTAGGAGAAGTACGAGAGGGTACCTGATATTACTATAAGAAACTTAAAGCACTTGTGTATTAATTTTGAAAATGAGCAACTAAGTGTTTGGATCGGATAAATACTGGTAGAAAAGTTTATCGTAAAAATTTTGCAGTTGTTTTTTAATTAAATTTTTTTTTTGAGATAAAAGAGAAGCAAATATGTATTGAAGTGTAGGTACCAAGGGGGTGCCGCTCATGTACAAAGAATTTAAAGTAAAAGAGCATATTTACAATAAAATCAAAATCATCAAGGCTAAGTAGATTATATCCTAGAATAATGGACCCAAAAAAGTGAAACTATTTGTCCTTGATGCTGCCAAAACTATCCTCTTTACCTTCAAAAGCTCTATTGTTTCTTTCTTTCCGGATGATCCAGGAAATGGTAAGAGGAATTAGTCGAAGTTTCTTGTTTCCTTTGCACAGAAATTCTCACACCTTCAATTTGTCTTTTATTGAACCAGCAATGACCCATTTAATACAAGAAGCCCGTAGACCATGGTCCATAAATTATGTGTGAAAGGGGCAGAGAAGTAGGAGATGATTGCAAGATTCTGCATTTTCCTTGCAAAGGAAGCATCTATTGGTTAAAGTTATACCTCTTTTCACAAGATTGTCAATGGCAAGGATTCGTTATCTTGCTGCCTCTCAAGCAAAAAAGGAAATATGAGGGGAGGCATTGGTCTTCCAAATCATTGTAACCGGAAAATAAGAACTCTTTGCCCCATCTTGGCCGGCCTTATGCTAATAAAATGTTTTGACCGAGAAGTTGCCATCGTTACCAAGAGACCAGTGAAGTTTATCCCCTTATTGGTGGGTTGAAATTCGGCCAAGAGTGATAACAAGTTTTCAAATTCTTCAATCTCCCAGTCTTGCTAGTTCCTATCTACCACAATGTTCCATCCATTGCCATTCTCAGCATCAAAAGCTTTTTTCAACCATCGTATTCTTGTCTCTGGAAATCACATAAATGACTGGGAATCGGTTCTGGCGTTTGGAGGAGCCACACCATCAGTCTGTCCAGAAATTAATTTTATTACCCCTGCCGGCAGACCATCCAAACAGTCAAAAACACTTGCACTGATGTTAGTAATGCCTCTCCAAAGG